GTGTGAGTGTGTGTGTGTGTGAGTGATTGTGTGGATGCTACATGCAGGCTGTCCGAGTGCCAAAGCGTTCATGATAAGGTTTCGGGGATGGGGGCTTTGGTTTAGTGTCGTTCAAGGGTTGAGGATTTGGGATTGGTGATGCTGTCATTTCTATGAGGGTACTTTGCCAAAGTAGGGTCCCTTTTTGGGTCCCCAATATAGTACGGCCCACTTTAGAGAACTATCCAATGAGGCCTAGGACAACTAGCTGCCCTTGTTCAGGGAGACAGGGCAGCGCCCCATGCCCCCGTCGAACTTAGAGCCTCTTTAAGCAGATACTGCAATCGATCTGTACAGTCTTCCGCAAAGAAGCGTTTAGGCTAGGATTAGGGCCCACCCTAAACCTCAACCCTAAACCCTTGATTAGGGCTCACCGTTTGGGGTTTAGAGCTAAACCAGGACGCCCGACACCACTGGAGCCCCGAACTGACCCCAAAACCCTAAACCACACGCCCCTGGACCCTAAACCCCTGAACCCTAAACCCCTTCGGCCCTGTGTTGTATGTGGAGCAAGGATCCCTGCGTCAGTCTCGCCTGGATCGTCCGACGACCGCATCATAAACCCCTAAACCCCTAAACACTTGAACCCTAAATCCTAAACCCCTAAACTACTGAACACCCAAGCCCTGAACCCGAACCCATAGCGAAGATGCCGAGCGTCTGCGTCGCTTGCACCGAAGCCCCCCGCTTTGGCCTCCGCTGTTGCAGTACCTGGGTTTAGGATTTAGGGGTTCCGGGTTTCTGCGTTTAGGGTTTAGGAGTTTGGGGTTTGGGGTTTAGGGATCGGGTTTGGGTTTGGGGTTTAAGGTTTAGGAGGGTTTTCAGCCATACAATGCCAGGCCGCATGCGCTGGGCGTCGTAGTGGCAGTCGTTGCCGGCATGGTTGCGCTGACCGTGGTCTCAGTTCCGCCGGTGGTGCTGGCACCGCGGCGCATGCACATCGGTTCAGGGCAGCTCCTGGGGGCTCGTCAAAGGCTCTTACAGAGCTTCGGGTCGCGGCTTAAAAGCCTTCGGACTGTGTTTGCTGCTTGCTGCTGAAGCTTGTGTGAACTTAGCTCCTGATTGGCTGATCGCTTGCTGAAGTAGCTTCCTGGGTTGGGGCCCCTTTCCAGGTTCAAAACGCACTGCCTGGGGGGGCCCACGAAGCCAATCCAACTCAGAAGCCACCCCTTCGGAGTTAGCTTCTCGAGTGCTCAAATCTCTCAGACGCCTGTCAGTGCATCCCTAAAACTTACACTGACCCGGAACCCTAAACCCTAAACTCTAAACCGTGCTTGCACATCAATTTACAGGAAACCCTGATCTGCCCTAAACCCTCTCGGAGGAGCCGTTGGAGGGGCCTCTCTCTCATGTCTGCAGTCGAGTCTCCCTGCGTTGTTCGGGCACCTTGTGGCACAGCGCATGCAATCGGCATCCATACTCTACTTGCAAGACGAGCACATGCTCTTGTTCAGCTGCTCCACCCAGTCTAAACTCTAAACGCCTCCTATGAGAACCATCTGATACTCCAGATTGGAAGACGAGTCACCACGTCACGTAGTCCATGTTGTTGCACCAAGCATTTCCATCGCAGCTCGGGTTCCGAACACAGGCACCCGTGCTGCTTGCGCCAGGGGTGGTTGTGGTCGTGGCGGCGACGGTCGTTGCGGCCGCGGTCGTGGCAGGGGCAGGTGCCGTCGTGCTCGCAGTGGTTGAAGCTGGCTCAGTTGTGGTTGAGGCCGGCCGCGTGGTCGAAACAGTTGTGGGCTCCGCTGTCGTCGCCGGCTGCGTCGTAACCGGCGCGTCCGTCGTGGGCCGCTGGCTTGAGCTGTCCGGGCACGTCATGCCGGCAGTGCTCATGAGGGAGATCAGCGGATACGGCCTGAGGGTTCTTTGGGGCAGTCATGCAGCGCAAGTGGTTGGGGGTGCCAAGCACATGCTGAAAGGGGCCTACCGTAGCAGATGATTGCTGGAAGTTCAAAGAGCTGACATTTGCAGGACAGAAGCACGCTCATGCGCCCCGTTCAATCAACACACCTCACAAATACTTTCAGAGTGATAACCTGCAGCCGATACTGCCAACATCCGTACCGATGTCTTTCTCTTCCGTTCTCTTGGTTTTCAAATGACGGCGAAGATGTTCACATCTAGGTCTGAAGGTTGGTTCAGGCTTCAAGATTGAGCGCGCAAGAAGCAATACTTCATAGGTTTAGTTTAGACATGGGAATCCCCGTCCGGCTTGGCTCGGGAATTCAGCCCCAAGTGGGGTTTCACAGTGTAACCCTAAACCCTAAGCCCTAAACCCTAAACCCTAAACGGGCCTGTCGCTGAAGGAGCCGTCCATGTCGTCCAGATCCAGGGCCCATCTGACAAGAGAGAACTTTCCCCACTCCTCTCAACTTAAGACTAACGAGGATTGTTTGGTTGCTTTGAACACGATGACGGCAGGTAGTACAACTTTGCTGTCCTTCCGTGTCACTCCTCTAGTGATTCTACTTGCTGTCGATGCTAAACCTGCTGCTGAAGGAAAAAGCCAAAGAAACTCAATACCGCCCTAAACCATCCCAGATGACTCTGAAGTCAATCCGAGAGACACCATGGATCCCGCGAGACCCTTCTCACGCGCGAAAGCGAGCTTCGCACAAATCGTTGCCCTTGGCCCAAAGCGACTTAGGAATGGTTGTTAGGGGTCTCGGGTGGCATCTAATGTCTCTAAACTCTAAACATGCAGGTACACATGTGCATACCTCTGTCGAATATGCACACGCATAGATAGCCAAAATGTATATTGTACGAACTAACAGCAGAAGAGAATAAGAAAGATAGATTGCTGCCTACTTAGGGCGAGTCTCTAAAGCACCATAGTGGCCTGTAAGCAACCCCGAAGCACCGTTGCATTACCCTAAACCCTAAACCCTTTAAGCCAAACCCAAAGACTTAGAACCCGAAGCCTCAAGCCCCGAAGCCTTAAACACCAAAGCCTTACGGCTTCAACCCCAAACACGAAACCTTAAACCTTCTCTAGAACCCTTGTAAGAAACCTTGTAGCCAGACATAGAAACCGTATTGCAACCTTGCAGAAAGCCTGTAGAAACTTCAACGAGCGGAGATGAAGGGGTCCTCTGAGGACAGTTCCCTAAACCCTAAACCCTAAACCCCTAAACCCCTCAACCCTAAACCCTAGTTCCTTTGAGGGCTCAGTCCTCTAGCAACTTATGAGCCTTATGGGGTTTGCGATGAAGAGTAGAGGGCTTAAAGCTGAAGGGCCGAGGGTCTTGAGATTCCGGGCTCAGTGGTTAGGGCTTACGGCTTTTAGGGTGAGCTCAACTCCAGAGCTAAACTTGGAGGTTCATGGGTAGTTATAATTGGGGTCATAAGTAGGGTAACTATAATTATAACCCATATCAGGGGACCTATAACCCAGTTTATAACTACCCATGAACCTCCAAGTAGGGCATGTGGGCTTCTGAAGTTCTTGTGGTTCTGCGTGCAGGCTTTTGCAGCCCAGGCTGCTCGTCGTCATAGCCGATCCACTCGCCGTCGCTGACGACGTACGCGCAGACGCGTTCCGAGTCGAATCTCGTGAAAGCCTTCGCCGGCGGGCTTCTCTAGGGGTTCTACATACAGTATCTATGCTTATCACTACAAGTACCCCCAATTACGGTCCCTAAACCCTAAACCCTGAACCGTACTTATAGCCTTGCTGACTAAATCCCGTGATCCCCGGACCGAGGCCCTGAACCCTAAGCCTCTAGGTTTCCAGCTTTTGAGGTTTAGCGTTTAGAGTTTAGGGT